TGTTTTCTAACAATGGTGTGCTGTAGCAGAATGTTCTCATTTCTGCAAGTTTGGGCATATTAATAGGGAAATCGGAAAAGGTCATTGTGCTGATATTCAGAGCCTGAAATGAATAAATTATTGAAGCAGCCTACATGGAAGGAAAGAACAAGAATACACTATTGAGAATAACGATAGCAGGTGTCCTCTTGGCAAACACAAAATGTAAAACAAAAACAAACACACAAAGCCTCAAATGACATTATTTGAATGCTGCTTTTTGATTTTCAGAAATACAAGGCAAATCATCATAAAGCAGAGGACACTGCATTACATAGTATCATATTCTGTAAAAGGGTTAAGGGTGCCTGGTAAAGAGCAAGATGTTTCTTTTGGTCCCCTTTCCAGATTGAGCAAACCTTTTTGTTCTGTCACCCTCTGTTCCATTCCTCTCTCCTCCTCCTCCTTTCCTAACACTAAAAATCCAGTGAGGGGAGTGCTACAGACAGGTAAGGAAAAGCACCCTCCCCTTGTCCTCCCTCACTCACCTGGGACAAAGATATAAACCCTATGTAAAAAACAATAAATAAATCTCAGCCTAAATAATAAACACAACTTCTCACCACAAGTAAATGGCAAACTCGTTGGTGCTGAATACCTCCTTGCATTTGCACAAGTGTTATGCTTTATAAATGATGCTTATATGTAGGACATTTTCACTTACTCCCCCAAATCATGTGACGTAGGGGAGGGAGATTTATTTTTTCCATTCTTTACCAATCAGGAAAGAGGTTCAAAGGCATTAAGTGATTTGTCCAGCATTACTCAGGATCAGATTTCATACCTCAAATCTTGAGTCGTATCTCATTTCCACTACCCATACTGCTGCAACAAATATTCAGAACTGAGAAACTGTACTGAAACAAAAATTTCAGATAATGAGTTATAAAAAAATCCTTTGTGATTTTCTCGATATCAAATCTGCATTTTTATATTTAATGAAATACCTTTGATTTGTATGCACTGATTAGTAATGATTAAAAGGACTTATGGGCTGGCGCCGCGGCTCACTAGGCTAATCCTCCACCTAGCGGCGCCGGCACACCGGGTTCTAGTCCCGATCGGGCGCCGGATTCTGTCCCGGTTGCCCCTCTTCCAGGCCAGCCCTCTGCTGTGGCCAAGGAGTGCAGTGGAGGATGGCCCAGGTGCTTGGGCCCTGCACCCCCATGGGAGACCAGAGAAGCAACTGGCTCCTGCTCTGCATCGGATCAGGAACCGCGTTCCCTTTCCCCACCCGCCGCCCCGGCGGCCATTGGAGGGTGAACCAACGGCAAAGGAAGACCCTTCTTTCTGTCTTTCTTTTTCACTGTCCCCTCTGCCTGTCAAAAAAAAAAAAAAAAAAAAAAAAAAAAAAAGGACTTATGATAAGTAGAAAGAACCTTAAGATAAATGAAATAAAATTTAAATAGCATTCTTTTTGAAATATAATTGTAACAAAAACAATTCAGCATGGATTTTTAAATGAGATACACATCTCCAATTATTGGCCCCAAAATATTACTAATAGTACCTACCACGTCCTAGACAATGTACTGCGTACTGTGGACGTAACAGGAAATAGCAAATCCTGTCTGTGACTTCATGAACCCTGCCCCCTATCCAGCAGACGAGGTGGACATACAGCATTGTTATTAATGCCATAATTCAGGGGTAATGGGAATCTAGCCTAGCTGGGTGTGGGGTCAGGAAAGCTTTCTTTAAGACAAGATAATTAAGGTTAAAAAAGATGTACTTAAGCAAAAGGGAAAAAGTAAAAGAAGAGGATGGGGAGAGAGCACAATGCAAGAATTTGAGGAAGATAAATAAGGAGAGATTTAGCGGAATAGATGTGATCACCAAAGGATACAGTTTAGGAGAAAATAAGGTGATGGGTCATGGGACTCCAGTATTTGTTAAAGTTGTCAGATAAAGTAGAAACAACCAGAAAGAACTTATGGCTTTACTACACATTTTATTTTGCACTGAATTCTCTGCTCTTTAAGCCAGGGCTCAAAATAGCACTAAGTATACTGTTTTTATTTCTGAAATATTTATACATGTGAAATGCAAAAACTGCACATCTTTAAACATTTTCTCGTTAATAGATATTTTTGCTTACTTTGTCTCACATAACCTGCAAATGAAATCTTACCTGTTTCTTGCTGAGATTTGAAAAGGTTATTCTTACCAAGCATCCAGGATGGCAGATCCAGAATTTGAATCCAAGTTTTAGGACCTCCTGACCATTATACTTTCCATGACAACACAGAGTGGTTCTTGTAGCTGAAAGATCCTAGTTATCCAGAGATAAATCTACGAACGTTAGAGAAACGTCTCATATGCCAGAATTCTGAGAACTGTCATATTGCAATACATTGGGTAGATTAAATAGAATGAAAATTCAAGGCAAGCAGCAGAGAATGAAGACCATGAAGTGAAAAGGGACAGATGAACAGTGTAGGTTAGATCCCTGCTCAATGAATGTCATATAGGTGAGATCCCTGTGTTTACGGAACCTGCATTCCACTAATAAATAGACTAATGTCATGAGTGCATTTTTTTCTTAAGAGTTCTCAATGACTTTTGAGAGAAAAATCTTGCATGTCCAAAAAATATGAAATGAAGTGCCTGGACTTTGACATTTCTGTGGTGTCTCCTGTGACCACTTCCAATGTTATTCAAATGGTCTGGTGATCCCTATTGCTCATAGCCATGGGAACAGAGAGCAAAGGCACTACAGGGAAAAACACCATTTCTCTGAACAGTACTGGTTGGTTAGGAGGGTTTCCTTCTCACACATTGACCTCAAGCTTTTTCAACCTGCTATCATGTTTGGGGCATGGTTAATGGATGATTCCAGAGACTGTCACTGTTAACATCCAAAGTCATGTTCCATTACATGAAAGAAGGGAGAGAGAGAGAATATGAGTATCACTGAGGTCAAACAAATCCAATTCTTCTTCTGCTTTGTTAACATTAAAAGGGACCTTAGGGTCCTGAAATACAAACTGCCCTTTCTCAAATGCTTGTTTCTTATCTTGCTGGTAGGAGAGAAAAGGAGTATTTAGCAATCATCCTCCCAATAAAATCTCATAAGTAATCTGACGGATTGCTTCTGTCCCATATTCCAGAACTTAGTGGACTCCTGGTGAAATAAAATACAATACAGGTCAAACTTAAAAGGTAGCAGGTCAGGTTAATGCAAAATGGAAACAAAAATTCTGAAACTTGACCAGAAAGGAAAATCGGACATCTGGCAGTGTCCATTCTGCTACTATGGATACCTAGGAACCTCCAAACCTGGAAATGACCCATGCATTCTTTCCAGAAGATGAAGGTAGGGGGGAATCTCACATTCCAGAATTCTGAGGGATACTAGGTTGCAATACACGGGGTAGGTTAAATGGAATGTGATTTCATGTGAAGGGGTTAGAGAATGGAAGACCACAAAGCGAAAAGGGATAAAAGAAATGGAAAGCAGCATGGGAGAAAAGCAAGAAACACTGTTTTATGGAAATAGTGTCTAGTACCAAGGGAGCAGGTGTCTCAGAGAGAACGTATCTGGCATTTGCAGTCAGGAGGGGTGCAAATAGGGTTCAGGCCCCTACCTGGCAAATGCAGGCCACCCTCCAACAGGGAGGACAGAGGAGCAATGGGAACACAGAAAAAGAAACAAAACAGATTTCTGGTAGAGGTTCTTGGTTTGTGAAACACCAGGTTAGAATCACTTTGGGGATAAGAGGGTGGGGTGTTTGTGAAGAGCAAAGATCTCTGGAACCATCAGAATCTCCTGGAATCTGGAATCGTGCGTGGCATTTTTTACAAATGCCCTAGGTGTGTCTTATGCACAATTAAGTTTAATACTCACTGGCTGAGTTGATGGAATTGGATTCTTGAACATCTTTTGTTCTTAGTCTGCCCAAGGCTATATTGGTCACTGCCCCTAAAAGAGAGCTGTCTGGACTTAGCATAACAGATTCCTTTGTGATGAGGAATCACACACCAGGATCTTTTCACATAGCTTCCCTGAAGGTCAGGCCGTATCATCTGAACATGAACGCGCAGGTTCCTGAGAGTCTGCTTCCAGAGGCTGGGTAGCTTTTCAGTGGTAAGGAGCTTGAGGCATCACCTTCATCTTCATCAGAGATGCTTTCAGATGCCCAGAGAAGAGGAAAAGGTCAATCAGGCAACACTCATCGAGACCCTATTTTGAGAACACTACTCTAAGCGCCCATATACTTCCCTCTCCCTCGTGGTACTGTTATTTAGGTTTTATACCTAAAAATTAACGTGTGATGCGAAGTTTCATGAAGTAGGAAACTTCTAATTCATTAGAAATGTGTCTATGTGTTCACTGAATTTGTGTTTCCTGCAGGTAAGCCAGAGTAAGTAAAAACAAGGGCAAATTCAGGAAATCAGGCATAAATCCCTAGTTATATAGGCCAACTTGCAGAATATGAAACTGAACCGAACCACTGTCCACTTCCTAGTAACCTTTGACTTTCTCACCTCTTCCCTTCCCTCCCCTCTGATGACTGTCGGTGAGCTGAGGTCCTAGCTGCCAACTTTCCACCCCAAGGCTGCCAGCGGTAGGGGGCGCCTGCCTTGTCTCAGGCAGTGCTGCTCCCAAGCTCTTGCATCTACGTTTGCAGTATAAGCAGCTGTTGACACTCGCGAGTGGGCCCAAAACTACTGCAGAACCCTCATCAACGCTCTTATATCCTTATAACATCCCCTTCAGCACACGATAAACTGAAGGCCTGCTATAATAAAGCAGCTTTTTAACTCAAAACAAGTCACTTGCATCGCTTCTCGGTCTTTTGTCTCTCAGGTGTGAAACAAGTCGCCTACAAGGTGTCCTTTCGATGCATTGTTTCCTAAGTGCGTAAAAGCCCTTCCAGCTCTTAAGCACCACCAGTGAAGGCTCAAGGAAGCCCCCTCGGACCTCCCCGAGTCATCTCTCTTCTCCCTTCTCTTCGCAGCTCCAACGGGAAATCCGTCACCTGGGCCCAGAACGAGAGGAGCAGCCGAGGGCAGCACCTGTGGCAGCGGCTGTCTATCCACATCAACAAGAAAGAGAACCCCAACCAAACGGCTGTCATCAAGCCTTTCCCCAAGAGCACCGACAGCCGCGGCGCCCTGGCCGCGGGCGCGGGGAGCGCGGGCCCAGGGGCCGCGGGGGCCCCGGGCAGCACGGGCTGCCCCGGCGGCGCCGCTCCCGGCGGGCCGGAGCCTCCGGACGCCGGCCCCAAGGCGCTGTACGACGTGGCGGAAGCCGAGGAGCAGCTGCCGGCGCCAGCGCGGCCGCGCTCGCCGTCGCCCATCAGCACGCTAAGTCGGCGCGCGGGCTCGGCCAGCCGCACGGACGACGACGTGCCCTCGCTGCGCTCGGAGCCCGCGGCGCGCAGCAGCTCGTCGCAGGGCTCGCTCATGGAGCAGATCAGCAGCGTGGTGACGCGCTTCACGGCCAACATCAGCGAGCTCAACTCCATGATGCTGTCCACCGCCGCTCCGGGCCCCGGCGTGGGCGCCCCGCTCTGCTCCTCCTACCTGATCCCCAAAGAGATCCAGCTGCCCACGACCATGACGACGTTCGCCGAAATCCAGCCGCTGCCGGCCATCGAGGTCACGGGCGGCCCGCAGCCCGCGGCGGGGGCCCCGCCGGCCGGGGGTGGCGCTGCGCGGGAGAGCCCGGCGGCCGGGCCCGAGGCTGCGGCCGGCAAGCCGGACCTGGAGGAGCTGGTGGCACTCACGCCGCCGTCCCCCTTCAGAGACTCGGTGGACTCCGGGAGCGCAAGCCCCAACTCGCCTGTTTCCGAGTCGGCGCTGTGCATCCCATCGTCGCCCAAATATGACACTCTGATCATTAGAGATTACACTCAGAGCTCCTCGTCGTTGTGAAGGTCCCTGGAACCCACGCGGCTTCCTTCCAGGGGTTCCTGCGCGCACAGGCGCCCATCAAGGCCGAGGTGGAAGACGCCAAGTACACCCGCAGTGGAACCACGAGATTCATAGTGCTATTTCACCACTACTGACCGAGACACCGACCACGAATCTTTGGGCAGATTTTCTGCTAGTGGCCTTAGAAAACATGGGCTTTTAAGAAACACTGCTTCGACTCTTGAGGGCTGACAAGGAGTCTGTGAAAACAGCTACGTACCAAGTGCTTTGCTCTAGGAAGGCAGTGAGTGAAACAGCATCGTGGAGGGCGAAAAGGCGCAGTTAATAAGCAACTGTAAAAAGTTTTATTTGTTTACTTTGATCTTTTTCCCAGAAGAGTCTTTGATTCACCAAACATGAATGTACATTTTCTAACGAACTAAACGTCTGGGACCAAAACATCAACCTTTCTCTTTTTTTTCTTTCTTTTCATTTTTTCATTTTTTCCCCATTTCCTGTAATGACCTTGAAAAGCAGTGACTTGGGCACAGTATGCGTTGTTGTGAGTCCCATTCATAACACACGACTGGATAGAGAGTGCTGCGCTAATGTGCCACAGGGCTCCTACCAGACTTTCCTCTCCAATTTGGTTGTGAAATATTCTTCCAAAAACCTGCATCTGGGATTCCACCTAGTTATTTCAGATTCACCTCCATCAACCAAGAAAACCAATGGAAGATTTCTTGACTATTTCACCATGTTGCCAATCAATAATGGAGTAGCAAAAAAAAAAAAAAAAATATTTTCTGGAACACTGTTTTGTAATTCCCTCACTGGGGTGCATTGTGTAGCTAGAAATTCTCTTTATAATAAGTCTTGAGCTCAAGCCCTGCTATCTCTTTCGTGAAACACAGCCACTCCTAATGAATGCTGTTCCGTTAGTATCGCCAGCTAAAACATTAAAATATGTGTCTGGGCTTCTTCATTCCTTTCTTTTGAGAAGCTGATGCACAAAGAGCTCCTCTGTCCCTTTTGAGTCCCACCACCGGAAGAGTGATCCGTAGACCCAAGAAAGACATTGTCACAATCAGAGGGACTGTTGAAAAAAAAAATCAACACCATCTTAATACACTGGAAATTCTAAACTGCATCAAGTTGGCTTAGCAGAGATTCAGCTATGCCAGTGAGCAGTGGTTTTAACTTTCCTTGGCTGCTTCAATAGGGCAGCTATGAACTATGACAGATTTTTCAAAGCAATACAGAATATTGAAACAGAGGAACCTTAATAAATATTAACCATACAGTCTTTCTTAGCCATTCCAAAAAAGAGGCAAAGCAAGTATTAATATTTTCCTTTTTAAAATAATTAATATGAATTTGTGCACTTCATATTGTCATTGTTTAAATACTGCAGAAAAGAGGTTTAGTTACAATAGATACACCTGTGCTTTGATGGATTCATATAGGTAGACTTCATAGCTCTACTGTCATCTCTCCGTCCCATTGCAGCTACCCTCAGGTACCAAATGTGTCCAATTCTTAAATAAGTATAGTAATAAAAGGAGGAGGTGTCCTATGGAGTTCAGTTGACCCAGCCTTATACTAAAGATAGCCTTATGAAAAAGATTTGCTGTGAGGCACAAGTATATTTTTGGCAGAGAGAAAAATAAATCTTTTTTTTCTTTTGCTCAGTACCTTATTTTGGTAAGTATTTTTTTATTTCACATTTATTCAAAAAGTAATTGAAAAAGGGAAGTCTATCCATTGGCAAAAATAATCATTCTCTACTTGTAGAGAATACATTGCTTGTTGATAGACTCTTTTTCTGGTTTCTTTTTTGAAAATTTAACACAAATCTTTCAAAATAAAGCATTAGAAACTAACATTAATTTACTAATAGTAATAGTAATTTAAAAGAAATCAAACTTCCCATGTCAGATTTGAAAATAACATTATCTTGCCACCTTGATCTCAAGGAGTCTCTTGGAATAGAAGTGAGATCTAACTACACTTCATTGTTTGCTGAAAACAAATGTCTGCCTCTACCAAAAAACAAATGTAAGTATTTAGTACTCCTGGATCCTCATCAAAAAATGTGTTGTTCACCTGGGGATTACTGTCTTGATTTCATATGTACTGATACTTTTCTAAATATACTCTATAAATTTTAAACTTTGATTCATAAAATCTTTAAGTTTGATTTTCATTTTATTCTGAAATACAGTGAATTGTACTCTGTTGATCAATAGAACATTTTTAACTTTCACCATTATCAAATTCTCTAATTTTCTAGTACGTTATTTCCTTAAAATGTACACTATCTTGTGTGAGACATCATTAGAAATTAAAATGTAATGCAAGCAAATTGCCAACTGATAATTCCATATGACATCATAATCTAACTGTAATAATACAAATGACTTATCCAATTAGAGAACAAGATGTATTTTCCTTTCTATTTCTGTAAACTTTGCCACTTCATTGAATATACTGTATATTGGACATAATGTTATTACTAATGCATTCTTGAGATCTTTTATTTTGGAATGATGCTAACTCTGTCTCTTTGCCAATTCTAATACCAGGTTCCAAATAGTAACTCTACAATAAAGAACTGAATATTCATTCTAGGGCTGGAATGTGAACTTCACAATTCATTTGGGTACCTATTCTCATTTAATTTCCTTGAAAGGAGTCTGTTCCTGGTGCCCAGTGATAATTCAGTTGGGACCAGCAGTGACTAAAAGGAAGGGCAAAGTACAGAGAAATGCTAAGGCTCAGCAAAGTGACCCAAAAGGAGAGTTTGATTCCAGGATGAAAAAGAGAAGATCTGGTTTGATTGCATTATCCTGACCATTCTAAGCAGTTCATGCGTCCTTCTATTTTGGGAGAAGAGTGAGGTCAGCCTGAGAAGACCAACCAAGTCTGAACTGGGAAGAATCATCTTTCTGGGCTAGGGGTGGGGAGCTGAAAGAAAGTATGGAAAGGAAAAACCCTAAAATATTTGACTGATGGAAGGAAAAAAGTGCATCCCCAAATGTGCTAATCCTTGAAAGCAACAGTCTTTCCCAAACTGTGTTACCAGCAAGGGATCAGGAAGACTAGGAGCTATTTCTGACTGCAACTGAATTGTGTAATGTCTCTGCTACAGTTCTGTGACTTCCAAACCAGGAATTAAACACTCTTTTTTAAAAAGAAAGAAAAAAAAAACACATTTCCTACACTAGTCTCCCAGCAAAATGTACATGTTTTGGAGTCGTCAAAGGTATTATCTGAATTCATATTTAGCTACAGCTTATTAATAACCCTCAAGCTGTCAGAATCTCTATAGTTACCATTTACAATTTTATACTGTGAAAAAATATAGATCAGTGAAAGCATAAAGATAAATCAGAATTCACTATGATAGAAAGTCTGAGGCCTGGGAGATTTTCTACTGTCTATTGAAGAATGAGGCATGTATAAAATAGTTGGTTGGATTTCACTGATCTTCCCAATGTGAACAAATATACTATGTATATTGTGTGTGTTTCTAGAATTCAATGGCAGCTGCTGGTGGTGTTGTAATTAGAAATCTATATAGAATATAGATGTTTTAGAGAGATGGTGCCAATCCTAAAAGATTTGTGTGGGCTATAAGTGCTTGTACTTACTTTTTCTGCACTTACAACTTATTTGATTTTAAAACTGTGTGCGCATATTTGTTCTTTTTCTGTTGTTGCAGCTTGTACTATTAAAATAATAGAGAATGTTAAATTATTTTGATGTGAATTGCAAATGATTTTTTTCATAAAGTTTAACATTTTTATCAACCTTGTTTCACTTTGTACTTGTATAAATGTGTTTTATTTTAGCATTTTAAAATATACTTGCCTGTTTCTCAGTTGTCTAAATCATGTTCTAGTTGGTGTTTGTGAAGTCAGTTATTTTTTTGAAAAATATTAAAAAAACAAACTATGATATGACTTTAAGATTATTCCCCTCAGATGCTTAGAATGTTGTCTTAGTAGTTTTCTAATATGAAAGGAGCCATGCTATTAATTAGTATTAAATTCTGAATGATGTACACATTTGAATTCCAGGGTTTACAAAGTAAGCAGTAGACAATAGATGAAATCAGAGATGCTGTCCCCAAAGACAACAAAAACACCTTTTAAAACATACATCAGTAAATACATTTTTTGAAAAAGGATTGTAGGGAATGTATTTTGTTTTTTTGTCTAGAAATATACATTATAAAATAATTCCATAACTATTTGTGTTGATAGAGGTAACATCAAACAGATAAAACACATTGTTTGCATGTGTATATGTTTGTGTTTCTATATGAACAACACACACAGTTACATAGATATTATACCTTTAGTCCACCTATGTATGTTTTTGTGTGTATATGTTTCAGATATTCATAAATGTGCAGAAGTATGTAATTTTTCCTGAAAAAATTCACTTGTCCAACCACTTTTTAAAACTTTTTTTTTTTAATTTGAAAGTCAGAGACAGAGATCTTCCATCCACTAGTTCAGTCCCCAAAAGCCCACCTAGATTGCCTATGTGGTTGGCAGGTATCCAAATAGTAGGCCATACTTGCTGCCTCCCAAAGTACACATTAGCAATAAGCAGGGAATCCAAAGTGGAACTGGAATGCAAAGCTAAGCACTCTGATCTAGGATGCATGCATCTCAAGGATGTTTAACAGCTATACCGCAAGTCAGTCCAACAACTGCCCTTCAGATCACTTCTTAACTTCTATTGTTAAACAAATTTGTCTTCCTTGAACATAAAGTAGTAAACACCTAAAGGCAGACTATAGAGTAGATGTTTGATGTATGGAAGAGAAAGACAATATAGATTTTAAAATACACCTTTTCTGTGCTTCCTGACATTGTATTAGTTAGACTCATATGTAAAATGTACACACATTGCTCCTCCTTGTCAAATTCCGCCCTTCAGTGTCTTCTATACTGAAGTCATATGAATGGGCATTATATTTGAATTACATATAGAACATTATCTTCTTTTTTTTTTTTTTTTTTTTTAGTTTTTTGACAGGCAGAGTGGACAGTGAGAGAGACAGAGAGAAAGGTCTTCCTTTTGCCGTTGGCTCACCCTCCAATGGCCACCGGGGCCGGCGCGCTGTGGCCAGCACACCGCGCTGATCTGATGGCAGGAGCCAGGTACTTATCCTGGTCTCCCATGGGGTGCAGGGCCCAAGCACTTGGGCCATCCTCCACTGCACTCCCTGGCCACAGCAGAGAGCTGGACTGGAAGAGAGGCAACCGGGACAGAATCCAGCGCCCCGACCAGGACTAGAACCCGGTGTGCTGGCGCCGCAAGGCGGAGGATTAGCCTAGTGAGCCGCGGCGCCAGCCCATTATCTTCTAAAAATTGAAAGAGTCTTGTAAAAATTCACAGAATCATGGAAGGTTATGCAAAACCAACTGATACAATAGAAGTGACATTGAACTAAAAACCAAGTTCTATTACCGTCACTCTATAACTTCAATAAATTACCTTGATTTCTCCATAGGTCAATTCCTCTTTCTTTAAATGCAAAGTTGAGTGATAATAACCTGTAAAGTTCTTTCATTGCCAATATTCTTAATACGTTATAAATGCTCAATAAAGATTAGCTACTACTAGTGGCAATGCACTATTCATTATATAGTTGATATTCAGCAGGAAGCTTAAATAGGCTACATCCCATATTACTTGTGGAGGTATAACAAATTACAGTTTGTTAGTTTGAACTCCTAACAACCTTGGAGGTGTTGACCAAGAACAACTTAGTAAATTTGATATAGACTACCTCAGAAAGAATGCTTTTCCTATAGTATAATCTCTATTGAATGCTGGCTAATTTTTATTATATTTCTCATGATAGCTTAGTTTTAGAAACTAAGTAATTCTCAAACACTTTTTATAGTAGCTAGCTAGCTAGGCAGATGGATGAATAGATAGACTTATATTAATGAAGTTATCTCATTACACAAAAGTAAAAGATTTACATTTCTTCTCAAAGCATTTTGAAAATCAGAAGTATTGCTACATTTCAACCCATTAGTGGATAACTTCTCTGAATAAAATGTTTAAACTGAGCTTCCCTGATTATTTTTAAAGTCCTAAACCAAAAGTATTGGAGGAAATCTTCACAAGAATAAGTATTTTGAATCAATACTTACCCCAGGCAAAAGGCATTTATTTTTGATACTGTGGATGTCTTCTTGAGGTATATATGACCTACAAATATGCGGGGTATGTAGTACACATGTCAGACACATTTGAACATTCATGTATAGTTTCTATTTTTGCTCCTTGACTTAAAAATAAAATGTTGCATATTATCTTATTTCTAAAATGGAATGAATGTCATATGATAAATTATATGAATGATATGTCCATGAAAATCACACAATATAGTAATTGGCTTTTATGAACTGTTGAACAGTAATAGGTGATTCATAAAAGTAATAGCTTTAAAAGTTTGGAAATTGTAATAACTCCAGGTAAATGGCTATCTTCACCACAAACTATACTCATCTTTAATATGCTAATATTAAATATCAATTTTTAAAAAATAAACCTAACATTCTCAGAGTTTCAAGGAACACATTTGAAAAATACAATGATGTAAAATTTACAATTTGTACACATTTTTCTATCAAAATTTAAAATTTATTGTGTTTCTATGACAGTCTCCTAAGACTTAAGGCAGAAAACATTGAGTTGATAACAATTCCAGCATCACTTCCAAGAGTCATTTTACCGACTCACAAGTAGCTTTGCTCCATTTTGTTACTCATTTTCCTCCCATTTTCTGATTCCTGAGATTTCTATCAACATATTTACTTTATGTCAACAGATTAAGCTGTAGGTTTCTCTATTTTATTTTTTGGTCAGGAATTTTGCATTCCAACGGCAGCAGAAGGTTATTAGAGTGTAAACCAGAAGATGTTTTTAGAAACTATTTTCAGATTCCACTTTATCTAGATGAGGAAAATTGCATGGATGTATCTAAAACATATACCAATGCATTTCTACTCCTGAATGTGCAAGATAATGAATTCAGTCTTTTACTTCTCCATGTATTGGTTTACCCTCTATCATGAATTTAATCTCTCTGGAGAATTTAAATTCCATCTTTAACCCTAATACATTTCCCTAACCTTCCAAAGAGATATGAAACAATCTAAATGTATACAGAGGGAAAAGGTCTTATCCTGGGACGATCACTGTAATAACCCAGGAAAAATCAGCCACGAACGTAGGGGATCATTCTGTCTAGTTCTATCCAGCCAGTAAAAGAAGCCAGTGGGAATGCTTTTTTGCTCATGTAGGGAAATAAAAAGAACACCAAAATCAATTCCTAGGAAATAAGAGGGGGCTGTGATATAACCATTCCAACTGACTGAGTAAATAGGAGGAATCCAAACAAACAAACAAACAAAAAATGTGAGCAATGATTATAGGACAATAAACACAAGTGAAAGGCCCAAATAAAGGAAGCTATGAAGGTAAGAATGGAAAATAATGCATTTATGTGATTGAGTCATGTTATTTGCTAAATTGGAACCATCAGCTAACCCAGTTTTGAAGTATTCAAAGCGCTGAGAGAGGCAAATGTTAAATAAAGTTGAGTATAGTAATGCTAATGTCCAATAAGAAATAATTCAGAATGAAAGTCATTAAAAAGGTCAAAAAGGATTTCCAAATGTATAAAACTACACAGAAGATAAAAAGGTCATGAACCTTTATGAATAATATGGCTTCAGAACTTACAAAACAAAAACTGACAGAAACATAAGAGAAAAAAAGTGACAATTACAATAGAACTCTTAAATAACTGTACTGACAAATACATCAAGGAGTCAAAACAAAAGGTTAAATAAAATTTGGAAGAATCTGGTAATACAAAGAGTAATAATAATCGAAGAAAGCTACTTAGAGCTTCTTCCAGTTAATAGATAGGTCTTTCCATTCTCCTTAAATTATTCGTACACTTAAACTTAGGTTAGGTTATTTCTTAACAAACTCCAGAAAGCAGAAGTATCACAAGCTGCATTAACTGATGAAAAGAAATTTAATCTGAAATTTAAGATAAAATTATCCAAAAGAAATATGTTCACTTAGAATCTCCTCCTTAGATAGTTTAGGGGGTAAAGAAAAGCTTGACTAAAATTACAACCTAGTTAGAAGTGAACATTAGTGATAGCCCTGCATATAAAAATGGGTGGAGTAACCAAACATTCTAGAGAAATTGATTTATACTGAATGCACATTTTAAAAGACCAAAAAACAGTTATTTAATCATTTAATTGTAGATGTTGAAAAATAAGTTTAAAAAACTATCTAATAAAAACAACTAGTAGTTATTAAATCAGAAATAATACAAGAAAAAGCAAACATCTAAGACAGAATTAAAGTAATCATTGAAACCAAAATCTAGTCATTTGAGAAGACAAATATATCGATAAAGATTTATCTAATCTAATCAAATCGAAGAGAGAAAACACAAATAACATTAATAACGAGAACAATGATATACAAGAGAAGGCTTCAAAAAGCTCACAAAAAATGTGTATTATTTTTTAATAATTTTAGTTTTCCATGAACTCTTCAAGACATCCTCATAGAGATCTACACATAAAGAAATCACGAGGTAAAACTTTAGTAATTTAAAAATACAGGTAAGTGAATGTATTCTTCTAGGAAAATAAAATGACAAAGTAGAACAGTAAGTAGAAAACTCAGGCCAATTATCACAAGAATACTGTTTCATAGAAAATAATTTTAAAATATCTTACTCTATAAATCACAAGTTCAAATGTTTTGCAGGTAAATTTCATCATGATACATGATTTATATAATATGGAAATATCTATAACTTATTAATGAGACTATTATTTTTTATACAAATAAGAAAGATAAAAATACAATTATAGGTTAATTGGGCCGGCGCCGCGGCTCACTAGGCTAATCCTCCGCCTTGCGGCGCCGGCACACCGGGTTCTAGTCCCGGTCGGGGCGCCGGATTCTGTCCCGGTTGCCCCTCTTCCAGGCCAGCTCTCTGCTGTGGCCAGGGAGTGCAGTGGAGGATGGCCCAAGTGCTTGGGCCCTGCACCCCATGGGAGACCAGGAGAAGCACCTGGCTCCTGGCTCCTGCCATCGGATCAGCGCGGTGCGCCGGCCGCAGCGCGCCGGCCGCGGCGGCCATTGGAGGGTGAACCAACGGCAAAAGGAAGACCTTTCTCTCTGTCTCTCTCTCTCACTGTCCACTCTGCCTGTCAAAAAAAAAAAAAAAAAAAAAAAAAAACACAAAAAAAAACAGAAAAAAAATTATAGGTTAATTATTATAAACATAGATTGTTTTAAAATATCAAACAAAATGTTTATATATCAAATTGTGAAATTTAACAAAACCAGTGGTACTTCAGGAACAAAAATAGTTATCCAAAGACTGTGAGTATTTTTAAATACTAGAAAATCTATTAATATGTTTTACTCCATTAGCATAATAAGGAGAAGGATGTGCTCAGTTTAATAGATAATATAAAATCATTTGATAAAAAGCAATACTAATTCCTAGTAAAATAAAATAAATTAGCAAGTGAAAGTAGAAGGAAATTCTAATATAGAAGAAAGCTATCAAAAACTTAATAGAAACATGACACTAATAGCAAAATATTGGAAACCATATTAGATCAAGAATGAAACATTCTATATATACATAATTTAGAAAGTGATTATGTAATTTTGGTTTAAAACAGGACATCTCTGAGAGCTAAATAACTTTTTTTTTTTTTTTTTTTTTTTTTTTTGGGACAGGCAGAGTGGACAGTGAGAGAGACAGAGAGAAAGGTCTTCCTTTGCCGTTGGTTCACCCTCCAATGGCCGCTGTGGCCGGTGCGCTGCAGCTGGCTCACCGCGCTGATCCGATGGCAGGAGCCAGGAGCCAGGTGCTTCTCCTGGTCTCCCATGGGGTGCAGGGCCCAAGC